CGAGCAGAGTCATTCCATCACGGCCACAGGAGAGGCGCACGGGATAAGAACATCACCTTCAAGTATTTAAAAAGCAGCAGAAAGGAACCGGCACTGTGCAGCGTGTAAGGCGTGTGCTGCCGGGAATCGGAGGATCCAGAAATGCCCCATTTCTTCATTTTCCAGTGCCCAGGTGCAGTCTGCTCTGGCCCCGGGGCCCTGGCTGGCGTGAGTCCAGCTTTGTCGGGCTTCCAGGCCAAGGACGTGCCTGGCCCCGGCGTGGAGGTCAGACCAGGTCCTCAGCTTGGAGCCAAGTTCTGCTAAGATCCCCACTCCAGAGTCAAGCCTAGACCAGCCCCCCTGCAAAGGGGCCCCCCAAACTCTGCATGTCTCTCAGCTCCCCAATTTGCAGGTAATAACACTTTCACTCACCCTGACTCATCCGTCCCCCAGGTGGCCGACACGGGGCCTCACTCTCCACCCTGTGTGGTCCCTGCAGGTGAGAAAGGACATGGGGCGCCCGCTCTGGCTGCCCCCAGGTGAGGGCTGTCATGCTGACGTCCCTGGGCTGAGTCACGCCCCGGGGACAGGAAACAGCGACTTAGACTCACGCGGGTGAGTCAGGGGCCTGGCAACGCTGGCTGGGGGGCCGCGGGTCTGGTGGAGTGCCTGGGGTCTGCCTCCCAGGCGCGGCGGTGGGCACCAGGTGTGCGCCCGCCTCTCTCGCAGGTGCCCAGGTGGAAGCTGTGTCTCCCCCCGCCCGGGTGGCTCCCGGCATGCTCTGGGCTTATGCTGGGGGCCGGCGATGGGGCTCCCCAACACCAGCTCCTTGCTAGATCTGCCGGGCAAGGCTGAAAACCCCCGACCGGAGGGCGCAGATGAGATTACGCGTCAGGCTTTCTGGCTATTCGGAGCTTTTCCCCAAAGACCTGTAGCCGGAAATCAGAAAAGCTGCTCAGTGGAGAAATGGCGGGACGGTGGGCGGCCAGCTCCCGACTCCTCCAGGACGGTCCCCTGGGGGAAGGGGCTTTGGGTGTTTACCAGCCAGAGGGGTGACTTGATGGCGCTTTTAAACATTTTGTTTCAGTTTTTGAAAACGTCCCTCTAGGGAGCCAGCCTTGCGGGGTGCCCGAGGCCGCTGCGTCCCGAGGTCCCTGTGGTCCTTGTGCTGGGCCTCCGAACCCCCAGACCACCCTCTGTCACGGTTTAAGATATTTTTATAACCCTAAAGGGTACATGGACCATCGATTGGCTAGAACAAAGTTCAGCGTTGAATTTGTTCCCAAAAGGCACCGTCAGAGCAGGGGATTAATGGGGATTAATGGTGGCACCGCGGTTCGATTCTAGTCAAAGACCAGCGATAAAAAGAAGGTGTGAGCACCTCAGGGGTGCAGGAAAGCCCAGGCTGGAACCGGGATAAAGACTGGAATTTAAAAGTATGTGGCTGTGTTGGCATTTTCCCCCTCACTGGCCCCTCCAACATTTCTCCATAATGTTGCTGCGTTTGGCGAACAACTGAGTATATAAGCCCCGACTGCATTTTCCTACAGCTGTCTTCACGGCGGCCCTGGGGTCCCCATGGGGCTCCCCCACGCCCCCGGGCAGCCATGGGTGCTTTCTTAATGCCCCAAGGGCACGGCCATTGCCGGGGCAGGCTGGAAGGTCCTCCTGGTACATTTCCAGCCACCTTCCCGGCGGAGACTGTCTCCTCCTGTCCCAGGTGGGGGAGAGCAGGGATCGAGAGGTGCAACTTAAAGAAGCAGTTAACTTTGGCCAAGGTTCCTCCTTGCTCTGGTTTCTTCTTTTTAGAAATGTCTCTCCTAACTCAGTCTGCAGGATAACTCGGTAAGATGCCCCCGTCGGCAGCCGGAAGAGGCTAAATAAAAGTTGGCTTATGTAAGGTTCTAACTCCGCTGGCCTGATCCAGACACTGATTGCAGGAGGCTCTGCGTGTCTCCTGGGAACACCTAGGCGCCCTCGCTGTCCAGGTTGTCAGAAACTCGCCCGGGTTTCACATCAGACTGAAGCAACAAAGACTCAAAATGTGAGCCCAACAAGATACTGAATTCATAAGGAGGAGACAGGAGAACGCGGGGCCTTGTTTTGAAGAACAGAAGGCTATTTTGCCGCCGCTGGGAATAACAAATATGGTTTGAGCACAAAGTCCACTTACAGGTGCAGAAGTAGGGCCGGCGGGTCCAGCGGGTCACCCTGGCCCCCAGCAAGTCGGCGCAGAGTGGGGGCGAGGCCTGACCCCCCGCCCCGATACACACACACGGGCCGGGGTCCGTCCCGGGGACGGCACCTCCTGTCCTCTTCAGACGTGGAAAACAGCTCACAGCCCGCCGGCAGCCACAACGCGAACGCGGAGTCCACTGCACAGGCAGGGAAACTGAGTCACAGAGGAGTTAGTGCCGTGGGCCCCCAGGAGACATTGGCAATGTCTGAAGCCCTCCTTGGTGCTCAGAGCTGGGGGACGATGCTAATGGCCAGGCACGGTGCTCACGTCCTCGCACCGCCCAGACAACTGCGCATGCCACCGGCAGTGGACAACAGCCACGCCTGCCCGTGCCTGCTCTCAGACCCTGGGTGGACGTCATCCTGCTGCAGGAGGTCTGCGCGAGCTGAGCTCTCCCCTGTGCTCGCACACCATGCGCCCCTCCTCCCCGCACCTCCTCCTCAGTCTCTGTGCCGGACTGTCTCCCGGGACCCCGGGGAGCAGCAGGCCCCAGGACCCGGTCACCTGTGCCTGCCCTTCGCGCTCTCCAGCACCCAGCCAGGGCCAGCGTCTCAGCCCACTCCCTCCTGCAGCCCTTGGCCCAGGAAGTTCTGCTCCGGGCATGGCTGGAAGCCGATGCGCTCCCCTCCCGGAACCGCGTGCCCTGGGCCTGAGCCAGCACTTGCGGGAGGTTCTGGGGACCCCCAGGCTGGGTGTGGTCAAGAGGACGCCCCAAGCGCCTGGCCCGGGCCAGTCCTCCCAGCAGACTGCAGCGTCCCAAGGACCCATCCTCGGGTTCAGGGCCCTGGACACACCCCCTCGTGTTTAAGGCAAACCTCCAAGCGCTTTGAGGACTTGTTGTTTTCCTTGCTTCTCCCTCTCAGCCTTGGCTCACAGGCACTCTGCAATTTCATGATAAATCTCCAGGGCTGTGAGGAGAAGAACTGCCTGAACAACCAGAAAACAGTTGATTTTTTAAAATGTCATCTTTTTTTATTGATTTTTGGAGGCTCAATATTTTAGCCTCTAAACCCACGATCACGGAATAGATTTGGGGGAGATTCGCAGAGCTCTCCTCGGCTTACGGGGATGGCGGGCGGGGGAGGGCGTGCCAGCTCCCGTGCAGACCGTGTGTCCGCCCACAGAGGGGGGCAATGAGCCCGGGGCGGGGACAGAAGCCCCCGTAACTCAAGGCCCCCCCTCCCCCCAAAAAAGGCAAACCCCAAACAAACCATCCCCCACATAGATTCTCTCTGGCTCTAAACCTTGTGTTGGGTTAGAATTTCAAAATTAGAACTTCACAGGCTTTTTATGATTAGTAAAATTTCCAGGCAATTTGCATTAGGATTATGTGCTTCATTCAAGACTTAGCAGTTTCCCCTTGGCCAGCGGCCAGGCCAGAACGCGCTGGGTTTGCTGTCTCAGGCTCGCCTCCCCCAGCTCGGCTCATGCCAGGCGCTGATTTCTGGATGAGTAAAAAGACACACGGAGTGTGAGCAGGCTCGGCGGATGAGCAAACTATTTTAGATGCTTAAGGAGGAATTGATTTTAGCTGTTGCTTCCCTTTTCCCTGCAAACCTGTCACAGGGGAAGAAAAGGAGGCAGCTCGCGCGTGAAGCAGGGAAAGCTGCCATTGCCGGCAGGCCGGGGGGTGTGGGCGACAGCGCTGAGAAAAAGCAATTTCCCCGTGCTTTAGCATCCATTGTCTTTTCACGACGCACCGTAAACTCCGGCAGACGATAAAACTCCGTTCAGATGCCAGTTTTTAATCTTCTCCATGCAGCTTCCACTACCTCCCAAATTTGCACGTAGCTTAGCTATTAATTACGTTTTTCAAAAGCCCTTCTTCTCAAGAGCCAGCCAGAAATTACCTTTCAGGTCCTTCCTAGTGGAGCCTCTTTGCGTGAACGATATTGAGTTTATTTAACTCAGACCAAGCTCAGAGACAAACGTTTTCCAAAGAATTTTTAGAAAACGTAAGGAAATGGGTCCTAGAAGGACCGATTTCTTCGCTCAGCCTCCCCGTGAAGCAGCACCCAAGCTAGTGTTTCTCGGGAATATTCTGCTCGCCGGCCGGCTTCGGGGTACTTCCCTGCCCCCAGGCCAGCTCTCTGAGCGGTGCGTAGGGGGCCACGGCAGCCCCTTCTTTGGTGTGGGGTTTGATTTTGCTCCTTCTGTCACAGACGTGCTGGGTCCGTCCTGCCTCTTCCCTGCGGGTCCCCCCTAGAAGATGCCTTAGACTCGGGCAGGTCTCGGGCCTCAGGCCTGCTCTGAGCCGACCTGTTCGTCTGGACACTGACCCGCAAGGGGATGGTGACTCGGGGGCATCACGGGAAACTATTTTAACTCTGTTCTTGCTCTTCTCTCTGCGGCACGCTGGCCGGCTGAAAGGTCTTGTTACTGGAGGTCTCACGCACTCGAGTGTGTTTGTCTTGATGGGGGGATGGCAGAACCCATGTAGCGCAGGCAGGCTTGGGGGTGCTGGGCGCCCCCTCCCTGCCCTGCGACGGGTGACAAAGCTACCTGGCTGTCATCTGTGTTCCTGGGTGACTGATGGGCCACAGTCACGCCCTCGGGGAGAGACTAAGAGCTAGTGGTCCGCGGCATCACCTCATTCATCACCATTTGTCGGAAGCCGGCGAAACATACGCTACTGAGGGGGGAGCTTTGTTTTACAGCACCTGACAAGTTCAGGGGATTCTTACAAATAAAATGAGCATAAGCCGCCGTGTCGCACGCGCTTAGTGAGCAGGCAGCGGCCTGGGGGTGCGTGGCTGGCGGAGCCTTCGGCAGGGACACTTACCATGGCCGACCCCACGCGGCTGACCTTGACGGCGTTGCCCCGGCCAGAAAGGTCCATGTTTGCTCTGTCCATCAAGTACAGACACGCATCCAGGATGCCGTCCTCGAACTGTCGGGAGAAACATCGAGAAACCACTTAATGTGCGTCCTGCGAGCACCGTAACCTCTGCCGGAAAGAAAATGAAGCCACAGAGCTTAGAAGGTGGATGCCTGGACGGCCACCCTCGCGACTGTAGCCGGAGCCGCGGAAGTGGCAGGAAGCAGACGTGGTCTGTTATTGTCCAGCAGGACGAGAAAGACCACAGAAGCAAGCCAGTGCCAGGGAGCCGTGCACTTGGGGCCAGGAGCCGCTCGAAGCCCTCAGAACGCTGTGCTCATGGGTTCAGACCCTGCCAACACCAACTCAGGGCCCGCGGCCAGTGATCTCCCAGGGCCCACGGGAGCCCCAAGGCAGACCCACGTCGGAGACCCCAGCATGGCCGCTGTCGGGGAGCTCACGGGGCCCGTTCCTAAGGCTCCCCCTGCCCCGAGACCAGCTGGACTCCAGGGTCAGAGAGGCAGAAAGACCTAGAAAAGGAGATTACATAACAAGGAACACACTGGCCGGCAGCTCAACTTCCCCAGAAGGACTCAACAGCAGAATGTTCTAAAAAAAGAACAAAGCAAGATAGTAATAAAGTGGAAACGGGAGGATTCACCTCTGCGGCGTCTCCCGCCCCGGAGAGTCCGGCACCACACGCTGGCCCTGCTCGCGTGCGCCTGGGACAGAGGCTGCTCGCAGGCACGGACAGCTCTGGGCTCTTTGTTAAGGCCACTGAGTCCCCAGAACACCCTCCTATGGGCCCGGGGCTGTGGGTGGATGCTGTGGGGCTGGGGGTGGGCGCTGTGGGGCGATGGGTGGACACCTTGGCCAAGGTGCCGGCTCTTGGGAACACAAAGACCTGGGGTCCGGCTTGCTGGCCGCCCCCTCCGCTGTGTGCGGCGTGACAGAGCTCAGGAGGTGGAGGACGGGGGGCTTTTCTCTCGGCCAGCTCCGGGCGCGGCTGGCCGTCGGGGTGAAGGCGGAAAGGGAGGGTTGGGACTCAAGGGGCCCCGCCGAGGCTGCTGGCCTGGGAGCACCCTGGGGGCCTTTCCAAGTCCTCCCTGCTGCCCTCACGTGCCCTTGTCATGTCCTCCCTGTGGCCCCTTGGGAAGACTCCGAGTCACACCCAGAGGTTAGGAATTGGGGACCTGTGGCCAAGGCCATCGGCAAAGGCCGTGCGTGACACTCGGAAACAGCTGTCGCCAGGCGGCCGGGACCAGGCCCGGGGGGCGCGAGGGGACAGATGCGCGGGGAGCTCGGGCGCGTGCCTGTCAGGGCTGGGGCGACGAGACGCAGCAGGGACGGCCAGGGCCAGGCTGGGGCAGGGCTGGGGACGCCGGGAGAGCCCGGTGGAGGCAGGACGGTGGCTGAAGCTGAGTCGGTGTCGTCCCAGCTGGGGAGACTGGATTCTGTGGAAACTGTCCCTGAGCGCCCCCCACCAGGACACCCCACGGACCCGCCCTCCCCAGTGCCCTTTGCACCCTACCAAGCTCCTGTCCTGAGAAGACCCAGGAAACTCCAGCCCCCGCCAGCTTGACCAGCTCGTCCACTGTCCTGCGGGCCTCGTCTCCCTCACGCCAGGTCATCTGAGGGCCTCGGCCCGGCCACCTCACCCCTGCGTGGCTTCAGCTGACAAGGGACGTGATGACCTGCTGCCCTGGCTCCCCACCTCGCTGTCTGAGACCCACGGTGGACACGGGGAGCCCCGGGACACTGACCATCCCTGGGGTCCGCGTCTGGGACAGACACGCGCGGGAAGCTCACCTGACCGTAGCTCCAGCTCCTGGCCTTGATGTCACTGGCGTCGCCATAGAAGATGACGCCGATGTCATTGAGCACGTACTCCTCCCGCTCCGCGTTGTTGTCCAGGTACACGGCGTCCTCTGGGGGAGACAGGGGCGTCACCGGCCGCCCTGCTCAGGTCTCGCGGCGTGTTTGTCCCTACACTTCAGTTTAAGCCACTAAATGGGGAGAAATGTTTGTGTCGCAGAAGCGAGTTCGGTCCCCGTGTGAGGAGCAGCGGGAGGACCGGTCAGTGGCTAGTGGGAGGACTGGTCCAGTCAGTGGCCAGCGGGTGTGGACGATGCTCGCGTGCTGAGGGCTGGCGAGTTCTTGCTCTTTGCGCCCCGAGCAGCACAATGACATGACACATCTCAGAGTCGGGGTCCGGCGTGTCGGGGCTTCAGGACCAGGCTGTGGTGGGGCACAGGCCGCTAGTGCCACCAAGAAAAAATTTCCACCCCAGTAGCATCCACAGCAAACTGGCCGAGTAGAAAGAGGTTTGGGAATGAGTCCCGGGACCTTGCCAGCCCCTGGGAACCCTGGCCTCGCGGCCTGAGGCTGTTCTCTGGGATTCTGCCCCCTGCTCGCCACCTGTCACCTGCCGCTACCCGTCACTTGCTGACTCCACGCAGCCAGACACACAGCATCGCAGCACACACACCCTTGTATGTGGACGCACTAATGCCCAGTAACACACACGAACACGCGCAGTTTTACAATCTCGACAACAAACACTCCTGTCACCCCAGGTTTCCTTGTGCCCTTTTGTAACCCCCTCTCCATTCCCTGACCCCCCCAGTTGGGGAACTGTTCATCTGCTCTGTCACGTAAATTAATTTACATTTTCTATAAAATACTGCAGTATGTGCTTTTTTTTGGAGGGGGGGTGTATCTAGTTTCCTTCACTCAGGCTAATCGTTTTGAGATTCATCCGAGTATGTGTATCAATAGCTCATTCCTCCCTAAAGCTGCTTCATCTTTCCAGAAAGAGCTGGAGCTCCAGATGCAGGTGCCAAGCCTCCTCGCAGCCCCGGCAGGTGGGAGCATTGAAGCTCCAAACCGCTGGTCCTGCTGGCACCGGGCCCAATGCCAAGGTCTCACCTACATCTCCATCTGGACCCCCGGGCCCCAAATAAAAGGACAGCTTGGCTTCAGGGGGGCCAAGCAGAGGTGACGCATTAAGGGGTGACAGCTGAGGCTGAGGTCCATATTGCTCAGTAAGAACATGGAAAATAATACCTTGATTTTAAAATTAAACAATGCAGGAGTATTTGCATGCACACATGCCTCGGGGATGCTGCGAGCCCCCCGGAAAGGTCGGGGTGGGGGTTGCTTGTTTTCTTGCTTTATGATGGCGTCTAACTGCGGGAGTGAGATTGTGATGATGTCCTGGCCCATGGGGTCAAGACCACCTGCCCCAGACAGGTCACTTAGGGACGTTTTACAACTTGCTTTCCTTGTAATGCGAGCTGTTTTGTGGACTTGCTTGTGTACCTTAAAAGATGTGAGGCATTAGATTGTGTTCTAACGCTTTTATATTTCAAAACATTTAATTTAAAGATAGATGAATAGGTCAAAATAGCCTAGAAATAGATGTCACTGAAATGCACATACATCTGAGAAATTACTTTACGGTAAAGAAAATGCCATAAATCAGTGGGACGGCTGAGTGTTCATTACATCCGGCTGAGAAAATTGGCTGTTTGGGAAAAGTAAATTTGCCATACAACCGAATAAACTGAAAGTTAATTTTGTTAATTCTAAATCTGAATTTAAAAAAGGAAAGCCTATAAAATCTAGAATAAAATAAAGGTGAATATATTTGTTTGGTGTCTAGATGAGAAAGTTTTATCTGAACAAAAATAATAGAAAAATTTAAAAGGAAATGACCAAGGCATTTTATTTCATATAATATAAAACTGGATCAGATGTAATAAAATTTAAAGATTATAGAGAAAACCAGAGAAATATTTGCAACAATGGCAAATGTTAGTAAATTTTCCTTACTTGTCAAGAACTCTAATATATTGATAAGGAGACCGTAAATTATGTAAAATAAAACTCAGCAGGGCCTCCCTGGTGGCACAAGGGGTTAAGCACCGCACTATGAAGCAATTCACAGCTTCTGCAGCGTGAGTTCGATCCCCGGCCAGGGAGCTACCCACAGGGCGCAGCAGACCTCTCCTGTCTCGCCCGCTGCTCCCCTCAGCAGTGTGTTTCAGTGGATCTGACTGCTCTGCTCCCCACTCTGTCTCTGGTGGATCCTCTCACTCCCTGCATCTCTGGCCTGTGCCCCAGCTCTTGTATGCATAAGTAAATAAATCTTAAAAAAAAAACTCAGCAAAGGGAAAATTAGTCACAGAAGAAATATGATCAGAAAATAAATACGTGAAAACAATTTAAGTAGTCACCCAGGAAATCAAAGGGTTAAAAGGAATATGGATATGTAAATTTATTTACGTACTTAAACTTATAATATTCAACACCAGCTAATGTGTGAGGAATAGAATAATTGCAAGAATGTATTTATTTGTTTGTTTAAGATTTATTTATTTTTGCCTAGGAGAACTGGGGTTCAGGCCAGAGGTGCTGGGGTGAGAGGATTCCCCAGAGACATACTGGGGAGCAGAACAGGCGGATCCACTGAGATCCAGTGCTGAGGGGAGCAGCAGGGAGGCAGGAGAGGTCTGCTGCGCCTGTGGGTCAGCAACCTGGGGTGGGGGAGGAGCACTGAACTGAGGCCATGGTGGTGACAGCACTGAGACTGACCCCTAGGCCACCCGGGAGGCCCCACAAGAATATTTTCAAAAGCCACCTGGCAATTGTACCATTAGCCTTGATAATGTTCATGGTCTTTGACCCCGAGTGCTGGATTTAGCGTGCCCATGGAAATAGTTGCAGCAATGTGTACGCACAGAATTTGTTCATTACAGTGTTTATATTAATGAAAACCTGGGAAAAGATAGGAACTGTCCTAAATAACTTATTCATCCACAAAGAATAGTATATAGTTATTCACATACATTTTGGGGGAAAGGATTTAATGATACTAGAACTGCAAAGCCAGCAAGTGAAAACTTAAATATGAAGCACAAAATGATATATAAAGTAAATATAATTAATAAGATATGTGTTTAAAAAATCTGGAGGTAATTTGGTGAAAATAGCTGATGGACTCATATACTTCTGTCACTGCAGATTCCTTGAAGTGACTACAAAATTCATAATATTCGGGGTAGGGAGCAAGAGAAAAAAAATGTATCAGCATCTCCAGGAAAATTAAGGACTGTTGCAATAAAAATATAAAAACAGGAAAGTATAGGAGATGTATAGAAGATATCTAGAAAGAGCAACAAATATCTAAAAGGCATTTTACTATATTGCAGAAAAATAAAAGAAAGAACATAGTCAACGAAATGAGGGGAAAAAATTCCCAGAGCGAAAGAAAGACTCACACGGTCCAACTGAAATGTCGCTGGCTCACTGAGATAATGGATGGGTGGGAATAAGACGTGCCCCTCCTTGCAGACTGCTCCAGGGTCAAAACTTCAAAGGCCGAAATTTTAAAGTCGCGTCTGACTTTCAGAAGGGCGTGCTCAGAAGCCCCTTCTGCTGGCAGAGCAGAGGCTCGCACAGGGCACACCTCAAGACGCAGCTGCTCAATGGACGGAGGGTCCAGCCTCGGCTGTCTGCTGTGCTGACCCCCCTGAGCTCCCCCGGGGCAGGACATGGAGGACAAGTCCCTCTCCCGTCTCTCCTGGGACCCTGAGACACCGCGCGATGGACGGGCTTTGGAGAACGGTTCTGCGATGCCGCCAACAAGCAACGCACGAGAGGTCTCTCGGTCAGGTGCTTTACGAGAACCCGGGGCCGCGCCTACCTTCACACCAGGGGTTGAAGAGGATGTAGGTGTCCGTCTCGGGGTTCCGCGTGGTGCGGAGGATGCCGTAGGGGGTCCACACGGCCACGTACATGCGGAACTTGCCCACGATGCACTCCGGGGAAGGCTGGACGGCCAGGCGCACCGAGCGGTCGTCTCTCAGCACCACCTTGGCCCCCCACTGGCCCTTCCGCAGCTCGGGGACCACGTGCACCGGGATGTAGGTGCCCTTGGACTGCTGCGGGTAGCGGCCTGGGGAAGGAGCAGGAGACACGGCGTTGGGAAGGTTCCAGAAGCCACTCTGCTCCCCCTCCGCCACCTGGGAGCCGATGGGGAACTAACCTGTTCTAAGACTGGGGATCGTGAGGTGGGGCTTGGGGTTCTTTCTGCCACTAGCCAGCTGTGGGACGGGGTTGTTTGTTTTATTTATTTCTCTATATTTTACTTCATTGTTCATTTTTGGGCAACGTTTGCTTTCTCCTCTGAGGAGTTAACCTCTTCGAGGCACGGGTCCATCGTGTAGACACAGAGCGGGAGGGCTGGGCCTTGGTCGGTCAGCACCCGCGTGGAGATGTCGAGACACTAGGCCGAGGCCCCAAAGCAAAGCAGAGTGAAGAGGGCGTGGGAGGTTGTCACCCCCTGAAGGGCTGTCCTGCAAGAAGCTCGGGAGGTCACTTAAGCTGTGCTCAGGGACTGAGGCAAATGGTGCTTCCTCATCCCAAATGCCGTTTCGGGACCCGCCACGATGTCAGTGCTCCGGGGTCACGTCTAGCGGCTGTTTGCAGAGAACCACAGTCCTCAGCCCCAACCTGGTTATTCCGTCTCATCTGTGATCTCAGGCTGCTGTCTGGGCAGGAATCCCGGCTCCCAAAGGGACTGCCCCATAATCTCTGGCAAATTATTTGACCTTTACACATCTCAGTTCCTCCCCTTTTATTTTATCATGAAACGAAGGTGATGCTCTTACCTCCGGGTGCAAGAGACCGATACACGCCAGCTGCTTTGCAGTTACTTTTCATGCACGACACGTTTTTAACTTATTTCAGTAGAAGGTTAAACACCAGAGCACCCTCGGGTTTATTACACTCTATACACGTGCACGTGTGTGCGCACGTGTGTGCGCGCACACTCTCTCAGCGTTCGTTTTTACTTCTCGTCATTGTGGCCATTTGCAACCAAATTCTTATTTCCTGGTGCGACCCTCAAAACGACATCTTCCCAGCGATTCCCAAAAAAACGACAGCTTTTGCCGTCCGCAGCAGGCCCGCCTCCTGGAGCTCGTCCTCGCCTGAGCAACGGTTGAGTTTACAGGATCGCAGAATAAACACACCTCCACCTGGGCCAGACCCCCCCAAAGTGACTCAGACACCGAATTCTTCTCGACTAGAAGAAGAATATAAATCAGACGAGTAAGTCTCCAAATTATTTTGTTTATAAGCAGAGAAGCACCAAGGGCAAACCGAATTCACTCTCCAGTGTTTTATGTGGAGCCGCAGAGGCTGCTGCAGGAGAGCGGCGCTCCCGCGCTGGCCCTCGCGCGAGGTCTGCATGGATTCTCCACCAGGCATGCTGCCAAGGCCAGAGCAGTCTGGCTCCCTGCATCAGTCACTGCTGTGCAATTCTGCAAAGTGCTTAATCTTAATGAAAATAATAATTTACACAGAGTAAGTCAGGGAAAAAGATTAGAACCCCAGCCCCTTGCTGTGCATGGGGGAATCCACTAATCACCCCTCAGAATGAGTGTCCTTGTAAATCCAATAAAGCCTGAACAATGGTTTCCTGCCGAGGTGGGCCAGGGTCGGGGTGGTCGTGGGGATCCCTGGGGCTCAGCCTCCGATAAGCCCAGAGAAACCCTCCTGCAAGGCTCGTGGGTGACAAGGCTTCTCCACCTGCCTCGTTCTTGCGAGCGCCCCCTTTGTGCTGGCTCACGGCTGCCCTTCCCTCGTTGGGCACTGGGCACTCTGCAGAGGGGATGCCGGCCAGGCCACCTCGGCCACGCGGGCCCTAACTCCCCCATTGCAGCTGCCCGGGGCAGCCCTTCCTGCCAAACACCAGCTCGAGTTCAGAATACACAGGATCTTTATTTGTGCTTTATTTTCCCCCTTCACTGATTTGCCACGAGCTTCCACGGCTGCTGCGTCATTTGGGGAGTACAAGGTCACCCCGCATGTGAATACGCCGCCCCCTCCTCCCGCAAAGCTGCAGGCCACCCCCACCCCACCACTGCCTCTGTAACCGTGTTAATCCCAGAGCCCAGGAATCACTTGTTCCGCCACTTTGTTTTCTTTGGTTATTTATAACCAGCTTTACCCTCTGGTAACTGTCACTTTCTGGCTTATTTCACTTCACCAAACCACCTCAAGAGCCGTCCATTTTGTCCCAAAAGGCACTAGATCATTTTTTTATAGCCGAGTAGTATCCACGGAGCGGAGCCCACCACACCTGTCTCCGCTGGCCGCGGACGCCATCCACTACAGCTTCCATCTCCGGAAACAAAACCTCCAGCTCCAAGCACTTTCCTGCACAGGGCGTGTCCCAGGCGTACAGAGCCGTGCTTCGCGCTGGACCCGGACTTCCTAACTGCAGACTTTCTCTCATAGTGAATTTTTATAAGAGCATCATCCCCCAGGAGCTCAGGAATAGATCATGTCTCCATGCAGGAAGGGAAATTTCATGACGCTAATTCATTTTTCCATTTGATTCATTTGTTTTCCCCAAGACGCACCTTTCATGTTCAAAATAATCAATCTACTTCCAAACAGGCCTGGAAGTGCTTCCGTGACAGGGTGATACATGGGGTGCCCCGGGGGGCTGAGCCGAGCCTCTGAGGGGGAGGCGGCCTCGTCTGAATAAGCAGGCTTAGGATGGAGTGGGGATGGGTGGGGCCGGGGGGAAACAAGCCCCTGATTGAGTTCTAGACACACCAGGCCACCAACCACTACATCAAAACACAACACTGGGAAGGAAAACACCACACAGGGCCCAGGAAGCTTGGATGACAGCGACCGAGCAGACACCCAGGTGCTTGAAAGCAAGTCACTTCATTGAGGCCTCAGGACCTGCCCTCCCTGGCTCACCCTCTGCCTGTGTGTCTGTATTTTCCAGATGTTCCCCAAAGGGACCAAGCTCCCCAGCGAGGCTGCGTCTGTGGCTCCAGCAAACTGGGGAAGGAAAGGGAATCTTCTTGAGGACAGGAGCTGAGTTTTCATTCTCTGTGAACACCCAGCAGCTTGCAGGACACGTGGAGCACAGCAGGTGCTCAGTAAGTATTTGGTGACTGGAGTTAGAGTCTCTTGAAGGTGTCTGGTCTACCAGAATTTTACGTCACGTGAGCAAGCTTTGGGAGAAGGGCACTGCAGCACGGGTGCTCGGCAAAGGTCCCGAGGAAGCGGCGCCTGGCTTGATCCAGGAGGTCGATGAGTCTGCAGTCGAGGGAACGGGGACGAGTCACGGGAGATGGGTCGGAGAGAGCCAGGAGATCTGGGAGGGCAGGACTCTGCTCCTGTAGATGAACGCAACACGCAGCAGCAAGCACCCCAAGAATTTGTAATGCCCGAGAACAGGCCCATTGTGGGCAGAGCGAGACTCAACACGCAAGCGTTCTAGGCAGCAAGAGGCGTCCATGACCGTGACCCATCGCGGGACTCCTGATGGTGATGGTCACTGACAGGAGGCCTCTGGGGCGGCGTTGACTATGACGGGACATTGGCGGACAGATGGGGCGGGGGAGAGAGCTCCGTGTATCGTCCTCGCACATTCCTGCAGGGCTGGTTTCAGAATTAAAAATAAAGCTTTGCTGGCATCATCCTAAGAGCACACCGTGGGAAGGGCACGCGCTGCCCGTGCCGTTATCCCGTACGTCTGAGTCTCCCCCCGCCTTCCTTTCACTGCCAACCATGCAGGTCTTCAGGTTTCTGAAGACGAACGACACTGGGACTTCGCAGAAAGAGCACACGTCTTTGGTCCTCACCCCCACTCCTGACCCAGCTCTAACCCTTGCCGACCCCTTAGTGACCGGAGCTCTGGGGGCATCTTTTGTTCTCACGAGGTCAGCCTGGAGGGACCCCTGGGTAGGAGCTGCTCACCGGAAAGACCCAGACATGACCGGAAACTGGGACGCGCCAGCCCCACCGCAGTGCTGCAGGGAGGAGAGCCGCGAGAGGCGGAGATCGTAGCTGACCGGGCCAACCTGGGGTCCTGCCACACAATCCTGAAGTGTGGGGCGCGGAGGCCCCAGGCTGGTAAGCACGTCCTTGCACGGGGAGGGGGCCCCCAACTCCACGGGGCAGCCAACCTGCACCGGGACCCTCTCCGCCCCCACCTCCCGTGTCTCCAGCTGGACGTCACCTGCGTCCTTGTCATCTCTGTTAAAACCGGCAAACGTGTTTGTTTTTTAAGGCGAGCCACTGAGTTTCACTCTCCTGGACGCGACTGTCAGCTCTTCAAAAGTCTGCGCAGAAGAGGTGCCATCTGGGCCCCCTGAATTAGGCAACACCCAAGCCAGGGCGCCAGCTCTGAGAACCTGGGCTCCCTGGCAGGGGCGGTGCCAACGTGGAGCTGAGCCCTTGGGGACCGGGGCCGGCGGGGCCAGGCCGAAGCAAGCGCCGGCTGCAGCTGTCGGCAAGGCACGACGGGGCCCGATGGAGACCGGCGGGCTGGGCTGACCGCGCCCCGGGGTCCAGGGCAGGCAGCACAGAGAGGTTCCTCTCTCGCTTCCGAAGAGGAGCCAGTGCCCTAGATATTCAGGTCTCTGGGATTTTCTCGAGATCTTCTCCCGACGGTTATAAACACAAGCGCTGGCTTCATGAATCATCTTTATTTTTAAAATTTGGCCAGCACTCCACTCCAGGGTCTCTGGCGTGTTTAAAGCAATTTGTTTCACAAACACGAAGTCAGAAGAGATGGAGACAGCGGGATGCGGTCACGGGGACGGCGCGGCTCCCTCTGCCGCTCGCGGACACGTCGCCGAGCCGGTGTGGCCGGGAGATGCCGCCGGCGGCCTCTGAGGCCGCAGCTCCCTCGGCGCAGTCGTGGGAACACTGGTCTCGGCTCTTTTTGGGAAATTAGCTGCTCCAGGAGACGGAAGGCTCATCTACTCCACGCCCAGCTTTCTGGCCGACTCACGGCAGGGAGAGCCACGCGCTCGGAGGTGTGGGCATCATCGCGTGTGGGCATCAGGCGCAGCATCAGGCGTGGCGTCTCCCTTCAGGTGTGAGTTCTGGGGTCTCAGGGAAAGACATCTTGCCTTTGCG